CGCTAGGAGGGGGGCTATGAGATGGACTATAGCCACCTCAAAAATTGCCGTAGCTCCCCCTCCCAGGGCCACTGCTGGCTGCTCCACCCCTGTCTGCCCTGAGCACAGCCCTGGCTCAGCCTGCCTCCCCCTTGCCCTCCCCCTGCCCCCACTGGGATGAGGCCAGCACAGCCCCTGGCCCACAGTGGGCAGTCCACCCTCACCCTGTGCACAAATTGGGGGGGTGGGTACATGCCCCCCATGCCTCCGCTGGGGGTGCGTGCAGTAGCGGGGAGCCGCCCCTGCCCTCCTGCTGTGCCCTCCGGATGAGGAGCCAGCAGCTCTACCCCACGCCCCACCCTGCCCCGAGGTCCATTCACCACCCTGGCTGGGCAGCGTCTATCCCTGCCCTTTGCCCCACTCCTTCCCTTATTGTGGGGGCCTTGATCTACCCCTCCCATGCCCCTTCCCTTCCCCCCACCCTTCACCACCACAGACTTACCAGCTGGACACTGCTCTCCAAGCTGCTGGGCTGCACTCCTTTAAATAGGTTATCAGATCAGTAGCAGCTGATATAGCTGGTTAAGCAGCAATTGGTATTGTCCAAGAAAATCTTTATTGGTGCACCCTTACTTCAAAACCCAACTGTTCTTTCCCAAGCTAACAGGTGATGACTCCTGCCACAAGGCAATACCATGAAGATACTTGGCAAGCACAGCACTATACAGGACTTGAAAGCCCATTTAATTTGGATTCTCCTGGCTGGCTGCTACACTTCAATTCTGCAAAGAACCTGTGGGTGTCTTCAGCCCTGCACATTGCAGGCCGGGAGCACAACAAGGGTAACTATAGGCAAGGCCTTAGGAATGTAGTTACAATAAATCTTAGGAGCAATGGCATTTTTGAAACATTGCAAAGTTTATTCCACTCCAGTGCCATATCAGCAAAGTGTAAACAGTCAATCCAAAGCAGTCAAACACAACAAATAACCACATTTTTTAAAACTGATAACAATGTTTGTTAAAGGGAGAAAATCAGGGCTTCAACTTTCACTGCTTTGAGACTTTAGCAGTCATTTATGCCTCTGTAAAGTGAACATATAAATAGGTATAAAACACTGTTGCTCTGATTTAAGTAGCATTTTACATCAATCTTACATGGAAATAAAAAACTGAACAAGGTGAAAAGCAGCAGAGAATCAGCCTTTGCAAGCTGCCAACACAATGTGAGCTCCTTTTATTCAGCTATTCCCATGTCTGGTCTCAGTGAATCAAGAGGCACACCTCCCACAAAAGCAGCTTTGTTTATAATTCAATTAAAAACAAGCCTGCTGTGCAGTTCAGCTACAACCTCTATTGTGTGATCTAGTGTCCACACTTACCCGACCAGCTGTTAACCCTTTATCTCAAGGAATAATTCATCTACACAGTATTGTAGTTTCTGTGAAGTATCATACTCGTGGTAAGAAACTGTGATAGCAACTGTTCATCTGTAAAGCACTGGTGCTTGTAATAGAGTGCACCTGTTAAATCTGTGCCCCTGGATCTCTTAACATGCTGACAAGTTAAAAGGCCAGTACTATAGTAAACTATAACACCGCAAAAAGGACAATCCTGGTTTTTGTTCTTCAGTTACTTCATGTCAAACCTGCAGTTTACAGATTTAAAAAATGTGTTTTTTTTTTTTTGTTTTTTTTTTATAATGATCAGTGCTACAACCTTAGAGGCACACTGGATGTTTTGGCAATAAGTCTGCAAGTAGATCCTAGGTAAGAACTGGGCTAATACATGAGCCAAGACATAGCCTTTGTAAGGCTAGAAAGAGTAAGAAGTAGTAGGGTTCTTTTTATTGCAACAGTATGCAGATGATTTTGAATAATCATAAAAAACAAGGAAGTGGTATGTTTTATGGACTCACTTTTCAGTGTAAACCCTTCTTTAAACAGAAAACATTAAATCTCTTCTCTGTGAAACAGCCTAGAGGTTCAGCCCCGTTTGGTGATCAACTGCAAGCATGACAGTGTTGTTCTTTCTACTTGAAGCGCTCTCCTGAAACATTTAAACACTCTCCTTGCTACCCCAGGTTTCCACAATGGCAGGGGAGAGGAAAAAAAGTTAGATTTAGCCATTCTCTCTCATGCATCAGCCCTAAAAATAATTCCTTTTCAACCTGACTGAATACAGAGGA